TTGGGAGTGGGCTGTGGAGTGCAGGCAAGTACTCCATGGCCCAAGGCAGCAGCAACCAGAGTTGTTGTGCCTATCATATAGGGCTGGAGTGTGCAAGCAGGTGAATGAAGGCCCAAGGCAGCAGCAACCAGAGTTGCTATGCTTTGGGAGTGGGTTGTGGAGTGCAGGCAAGTGCATGAAGGCCCAAGGCAGCAGCAACCAGAGTTGTTGTGCCTTGGGAGTGGGCTGTGGAGTGCAGGCAAGTACATGAAGGCCCAAGGCAGCAGCAACCAGAGTTGCTGTGCCTATCAGATAGGGTTGGAGTGTGCAAAAAAGTGCATGAAGGCCCAAGGCAGCAGCAACCAGAGTTGCTGTGCCTTGGGAGTGGGCTGTGGAGTGCAGGCAAGTACTCCACGACCCAAGGCAGCAGCAACCAGAGTTGTTGTGCCTATCATATCGGGCTGGAGTGTGCAAGCAGGTGAATGAAGGCCCAAGGCAGCAGCAACCAGAGTTGCTGTGCCTTGGGAGCGGGCTGTGGAGTGCAGGCAAGTGCATGAAGGCCCAAGGCAGCAGCAACCAGAGCTACTGTGCCTTGGGAGTGGACTGGTGTGTGCAGGCAAGTGCATGAAGGCCCAAGGCAGCAGCAACCAAAGTTGCTGTGCCTTGGGAGCGGGCTGTGGAGTGCAGGCAAGTGCATGAAGGCCCAAGGCAGCAGCAACCAGAGCTACTGTGCCTTGGGAGTGGGCTGGTGTGTGCAGGCAAGTGCATGAAGGCCCAAGGCAGCAGCAACCAGAGTTGCTGTGCCTTTGGAGTGGGTTGTGGAGTGCAGGCAAGTGCATGAAGGCCCAAGGCAGCAGCAGCCAGAGTTGTTGTGCCTTGGGAGTGGGCTGGTGTGTGCAGGCAAGTGCATGAAGGCCCAAGGCAGCAGCAACCAGAGTTGCTGTGCCTTGGGAGTGGGCTGTGGAGTGCAGGCAAGTACTCCACGGCCCAAGGCAGCAGCAACCAGAGTTGCTGTGCCTATCACATAGGGCTGGAGTATTCAAGCAGGTGAATGAAGGCCCAAGGCAGCAGCAACCAGAGTTGCTGTGCCTTGGGAGTGGGCTGTGGAATGCAGGCAAGTACTCCACGGCCCAAGGCAGCAGCAACCAGAGTTGTTGTGCCTATCACATAGGGCTGGAGTGTGCAAGCAGGTGAATGAAGGCCCAAGGCAGCAGCAACCAGAGTTGCTGTGCCTTGGGAGTGGGCTGGTGTGTGCAGGCAAGTGCATGAAGGCCCAAGGCAGCAGCAACCAGAGTTACTGTGCCTTGGGAATGGGCTGTGGAGTGCAGGCAAATGCATGAAGCCCAAGGCAGCAGCAACCAGAGTTGCTGTGCCTTGGGAGTGGGTTGTGGAGTGCAGGCAAGTGCATGAAGGCCCAAGGCAGTAGCAACCAGAGTTGCTGTGCCTTAGGAGTGGGCTTTGGAGTGCAGGCAAGTGCATGAGCCCAAGGCAGTAGCAACCAGAGTTGCTATGCCTATCATATAAGATTGGAGTGTTCAAGCAAGTGCATGAAGGCCCAAGGCAGCAGCAACCAGAGTTGCTGTGCCTTGGGAGTGGGTTGTGGAGTGCAGGCAAGTGCATGAAGGCCCAAGGCAGCAGCAGCCAGAGTTGTTGTGCCTTGGGAGTGGGCTGTGGAGTGCAGGCAAGTACTCCATGGCCCAAGGCAGCAGCAACCAGAGTTGTTGTGCCTATCATGTAGGGCTGGAGTGTGCAAGCAGGTGGATGAAGGCCCAAGACAGCAGCAACCAGAGTTGCTGTGCCTTAGGAGTGGACTGGTGTGTGCAGGCAAGTGCATGAAGGCCCAAGGCAGCAGCAACCAGAGTTGTTGTGCCTTGGGAGTGGGTTGTGGAGTGCATGCAAGTGCATGAAGGCCCAAGGCAGCAGCAACCAGAGTTTCTGTGCCTATCATAAAGGGCTGGAGTGTGCAACCAGGTGAATGAAGGCCCAAGACAGCAGCAACCAGAGTTGCTGTGCCTTGGGAGTGGGTTGTGGGTGCCATCAATTTAACTCCAAATCATACCTATCGTATCCTTGTAGGTAGTGTATTCCACTGACAGTGAAGTGGTGTTGTCACTCCCGGGGTCCGCAATGTCGTAGCCGCTTGCGGAATGCCCTCTCTGCCAGTTCGCTTCTCCTCGTAGACCGTGTGCGCGTGCTGCCTTTTGACGCTGTAAGTTGATGGGTGCACGTTTTGCTGGTACTCGACGCACGGCGGGCGTTGCTTGTGAACGGGAGTGGTGTTTGGCCCCGTCCTCGCTTGGGCGGAGCCGACCTCGAGACCGCGGGGCCGCGGGAGACCACGGGGACGCGGGAGACTGCGGGACCGCGGGAGGCCGCGGGAGGCCGCGGGAGACCGCGGAGCCGCGGGAGGCCGCGGTACCACGGGAGGCCGCGGGACCGCGGGAGGCCGTGGGTACCGCGGGAGGCCACGGGACAGCGGGAGCCGCGGGACTGCGGGGACCACGGGACCACAGGGGCCACGAGGGCCGCGGGTGGACGACCGGGGGCCACAAGGGCCGCGGGATACCTGGTCGACCAGGATACCTGGGCGACGTGTGCGAAGGTCCTCGGGGGTGTTTTCTGCGAGGCCGACCTCGGGGGTGGTATCCCGAGGTCGACGTGGCTGGTGGGCGCCGTCACGGGTGGAGTGTCTGCGCTGGGCATGTGACGGGGAGTTGGGCGCCAACCAGCTGCACGCACCTGCGAAGCTGGTGCGCGGTTGTCAGGCGGGTGCAACGCTGTGCAGCCGACTTGCTGCAGCGTTGGCACACCGCGGACTTGCAACGTTGGCAAGCCGCGACTCTGCTCTGCTGGAGCGCGGTCGACCTCGTCGTGCTGGCACGCGGTCGACCGTGCTGCGCTGGCAGTCGACCAGCAGCCTTGCTAGGTCTGATGTAGTCTGTGTTGCCAATGTTGATGCAATCATTCTGAATCTTTGTTGTGAACCTTTGCTAGTGAAACTCTTGCCAAATTTCCCTGTGAATCAGCAAGTAGTGCAAGCACATGTAAACGACTAAGGAACGAACGAACGCTACGATCACTCTTGCCCCATGCCTAGCCCGTAGTCTAGCTCCCGTTGCACGAGTTATCTCCGCATTGCTATCGACCAGTCCTTTTCCTTCTCGGTAGACCAGGGCGCGCGCTGCTCGTCGATCTCTGCGCCAAGGGCGCGCTGCTCGTCGACCAAACCCAGGGCAGGGCGCGCTGCTCGTCGACCTCTGCGCCAAGCGCGTGCTGCTCGTCGACCTTTGCGCCAAGCGCGCGCTGCTCGTCGACCTCTGCGCCAAGCGCGTGCTGCTCGTCGACCTCTGAGCCAAGCGTGCTCTGCTTGTCGACCAGACAATGGCGATCGCTGCTCGTCGTCCTTAGCGCCAGACGGGCGCTGCTCGTCGACCAGACCGGCCTCCGCGCTGGACGTATGAGGGTTGACGCGCAGCTAGACGACCAGTGGAGCGCGCTGCGCGCAAACTCGCGGGTGCACGCAATGCTATCCGCCGGTGCCCTCCCCGGTGGCTACAGAGTAGTATAACGTAACCCGCAGGGTCTGCGTATGGTGCACGACACGGTACGTGGCATTACCCTCAGTAATCGGCACTCTCTAGCCGAGTATACGGGAGCAATGGCCCTAAACCGTCATTCTTTGCGCTGCCAGCGGCAATCGACGTGCCTAATGCCACACGCAGTTCTCCGATATCGCGTCGTGTCGCGCTCTTCTCAACGCTCCTTCCTGTTACCCCACATGTACATGTTCTAGCACGTCACCAATGTTTGCACGTTCTGTTGTTGTTAGCTCCTGCGGTTGTTTCACACGTGAAGTAGTTAGCTTGATTGATCGTGGTGTTTCCTTCTCACTCGTTCCGAGGTTGTTGGTGCTTCCCGTTTCCGCTTTTGCTAGTAGTCGCATTGTGCGTGGACATTTTCACAACTTGAACCTGATTGGCTGATGCTCAATTTGTGCGACTCTCCTTCCAGTCGCCCCACACTGCCCTGCAAGTTTGTCAAAGCTTCGCGTTTGACGAGACCCCTTTCCCCATCGTCAATCAATCGCTTTGTCGCTGCACTGACTTTGCCGAAATAGTTGGTTTGAAGGTTTCGCATACACCATTTCGAGCCCACATAACTTGATAATTTACCATGCTGACCCCGGGCTTTAAATGCGACGACAGCAAAAGCTGTCCGCCACCCGGGGGGAGGGAGGCCACGGTCGATCTTGACCGTCGAGGGCAAGGATCCGTCGGTGCAGCAGGAGCGCCAGTGAAATTCATGGCCGCTAGGAGCAACTACCCGTTCTCCTGGCCGGCTACTGCGCTGCTCCTGTCATCACGACATCCTTCCCTTCCCCCCCCCCCGAGGGGTAATACACTCTAAAAAACGGGGAAGCTAGGAAAGTAGCTCTGATACCAAGTGTTATGAGTTGTACTAAACAGAGTGCATGGAAAACTTCTATAAAGAGAACGTGATTATAGAATGAAGAAGCAATGAAGAATGCGAGCAAATACAGGGCGAATACGTGCTAGGTGAGAACTGCGTGACGTGCGTGGCTCGGAAATGTCGCGATTGGTGATGGGCGACTCGGCATTGGCTCGGTGCGAAAGTGTAGGCCGAGCCACACTGACGCGAAGTGCTCGGGGCTGTCCTCGCTAGGAGCAGCCTCTACAGTAATGAATGTATATTCACTACAGGTATGAACCCAGTAATAAATAGACAATTACTCACATCTAAACTTTCGCTATGATTTTGTTAGATCTGTTTTCATCCAGCTTCATAATGGAAGTGCAGCTGAACATGGGAAAATTAGTGCCGTTTAGAAAGCTTCTATACAGATTTTACAAACGAAGTCATTGTACTCTTATCTCCATTTTCGGGGTTTCAAGTTTCCATTTTACAAGAGCAGTTCCTTCCTGATGGTGGCCGTTTTTCAGCCACCAGAGCTGCCAACCACTCAGCATTCAAGCAACCACCTTCTACCGATAATATTCATCTCACACGGCAACAAATGGAGGCAGAACACGCCACGCAGGCGCCAAGAGCACGCCCACAGAAACACAGCACAGCGCCAAGGCCACCCACAACAGCAGCCTCTGCTCATGCAGCCATCGCCTCACTGCCACCACTAGCGGCCGCAGCAGCAGAGCAAGCAGCGTCCAGGGCGACAGCTCCCCCAGCTCCTCCAGCTCTTTCAGCCGCCCATTAGCGCCCACACCGTCCTTCATCAGACCATAGCCTTTTGCCCTGGACGTGTTTTTTTTTTTGGCAAGCGGAGATGCAGATGCAGTATCGTCTGGCTGGTGCGGCCGATCAACCCACCCCGTGGCAACCGTCACTCTGTGACGCCGCACCACCCTGCTGCTGCTCGTCCTGCCATTACTCCTCCCCTCGCTGCCCCCTACGTTCTTATCCAATTCCCTGCTTCCACCGGACCCCCCTGACCCTGCACTGCTGGCCGTATCCTGCAAGTCAGGGTGCGCAGTGTCCTCATGAGTCACCACAGACGACAATACATCAACGTCCTCTGATTCAATCTCCTCTATCTCCACCTCCTCCGTCTCAACCTCCCACTCCTCCATCTCTAAGCCTCCTCTCCCGCTTCTCCAACCCCTCCCACTAAACCCCAGCAGCCTGTCTTTCTGCACCACCCTCCCTTCAGAATCAACCCACCAGCGCGACTCAAACACCTCCTCTTCCTCTTCCTCTTCCTTCTCGCTCCACTCCTCTACCTCCACCTGCTTCTCCACCCCACCACCCTTTTCCCCAGAAGCCCCCTGACCCTGCAACCCACCGGCTGCCCCTCTGCCTGCAGCCAGCTCAGCGGCATGGGCAGGGCGAGCAGGGAGGGCGGAGAGCAGCTGCAGCACACCGCTCAGGTACCGAGGAGCGGGTCGCACGCCCCCACCCGGCCTCAACCCCCCCCCACCTGCCCCTGCACGTGACAGCGAGTGCACCGGCCTGCCTCCCCCCACGCGCACTCCCTTGGAAATCACTGCCGCTGGCCCTGCTGGCCCCGCCTGTCCACGAGGCTTCACGGGGTGGGGGACAGAGGCAGCTGAGTCTGCTCCTGCTCTGGCTGGAGCAGCCTCCGCCTCTCCACCTGCCCCGACCCCTGCTGATGTTGCTGCCGCTGTCGCTGCTGTTGCTGCCGCTGTCGCTGCTGCTGCTATTGTTACCACTGGTGCCGCTTCTGCTGCGGTGGGAGCAGCAGCTCCGAGGTTGACGGAGCGCCGAGCAGGCAGGTACTGCTGCCACGGGTGGCGCTGCCCACGTGTCTTCTTGGACTGTGCAATGAGGTCTGCTATGGGGCGGGCGCGCGCACACACACACCGCTGGTCCCCAATCTCCTCATCCCTCGCTGCCTCCTCTGGCTCTGATTCCAAAGGATGCACTGAGAGCTGTGCAACTGAATTCACTTCATCGGCTGCATCGACTGCACTTAAACAGTCTGACGAAACAGCACTGGCTGTTGCAGCAGGCGCTGGAAGGCCCAGCGATTTAACAGCAGCTGCTGACACGCCTGCTGCTGCTGTTGTGAGAATCTCCGCCTGAGCTACGGAAGCGTCGTCGGATTGAGCAATACTTGAACTCCTAAGAGCGCGCTGAGGGCCACCAGCGCACACGCCTTGTGGTGCAGCGCTGCCGCCTGGCAGCACACTGTGTGTCGGCATCATCTGGGATGGAGTTGCTGCAGTGGGGCCTGGTGGCCCCTCCGCCTCCATCGAGGTTTCACTGCTCCTAGCCCGCCCTGCCCTGCCTCTCCCCACATCTGCCTCTCCCCTCTCCCCATGCCTCTCCTCATGCCTCTCACCATGCAGCGGATTGTAAAGCTGAGCCTCATGGCGGCCAGCCACGTCGCCACCTCCTGCCACTTGGAGCCTCGCGTGCTGCAGAGGCTGCTGTCTTGCCTGCCCTATGTGTACCACACGTGCCACACCACCACCTCCCTGCGCGTGCAATATCTCCCCGTCGTCCGGAGCAACCACCACCCCTGCACCTCCCTCGCCGTCAACCCTCTCATCATCGCCATGACCAGCCATTATCTCACCCTCCAAGCCTCCCTGTCCCTCAACTCCTCCACGCTCCTCCCCTCCTTCGCGCTCCAGCATTCGTGGATCGTGCTGCGCGGCAAGAGCCGCCGCACCTCCATCTTCCACCACCGCACGCCCTGCTGCCGCCCCAAGCATCACGGCACCAGCTGCTGCTCCGCCTGCCTCCGCCTCCGCTGCCGCTGCTGCTGCAGCAGCAGGGGCTGGAAGCACCCCTTCCGCTGCGGCAGGTAAGGCAGGAGCTGCAGGCGCAGCGGCAGGAGCGGCCTCTTGTGCAGCAAGGACGGCGGGAGGAGCTAGATGCGCCCCAGCGGGCGCAGGTGGAACTGGTGCCGCGAGAGGCAGGGCGGCAGCAGCCCTGGCAGGAGCACCAGGAACAGGGGGCTCTAACAAATGATAAGCTACAGGAACACCAGCTAAAGGCTCGACCGCTAGAGGAACATCCGCTATAGGAACATCAGCTGCACCTGCAGGGACAGCAAGGGCAGCGGGAGGGGCCGCAAGGGCGGCAGGCGGAGGAGGGGCGGCAGGGGCAGCAGCGAGGGCAGCGGCGCCATCAACCAACACAAGATCGTCCAGCCCTGCCAACTCCGCCTCCCCTTCCATCTCCGCGTGCCCTCCCCGTTCCTGTAACGGGTGTGGCTGTAACGCAAGCGCTTCAAGCACATGTGCATGCAGTCGAACAGGCTCAGCAGCCGCTAACCCTACAGCACCACCTTCTCTTGCACCGCCCTCGACCGCACCATCCTCTGCTGCACCGCCCTCTGCCGCCCCGCCATGTGGCACGGGCAATATCCGTACTCCCTCCTCTTGCCCCACCACCAACAGCGCACCTGCCGGCCCAGCAGCACCACCAAACGCACCGTCTGCCGCAGCACCAGCGGCGCCAGCAGCGGCGCCAGTAGCAGGAGCATGATCACCCACACCAGCATGCGTGTGGGCGTGAGCAGGGTGGTGTGTCATGTGAGCCCCGTGTCTTTCCACGTCTTCCACGCCGAAATGCATTGTGACGTCTGCCGCACGACAATAGAGGAGGGGGCGACACACACATGGACACACACGCGCAGAGACACATGCACGGACCATCAGCGACCGCCAAGTCAGACAAGGGAGAGGCAACAACCTCCCGGTAACACAGCAGAGACGTGAGAAGCGGGCGTGACACGTGGGGTGGGAAGACGTGACAAATGGCGACACCAGTGGACGGTGGTGGCTAGCGGTGTACCTGCAACGGCGCTGAGCTCCATGCGTGAATCCAGACCCCGCCCATCAAACGCTGCTATGGGTGTTGCTGCTATGGATGTTGCTGCTACGGGTGTTGCTGCTATGGGTGTTGCTGCTACGGGTGTTGCTGCTACCATGCCCTCATGCTGATCCATCCCCCTAGACCACTCTTGAGCACCCATGAAACAGTCCTCATCACCCATACTGCCATCAGCCTGATTCAGAGAGAGATGGAGAGGAGAGAGGTGCGGAACGGTCAAGAAAATGGGGAAAAAAAAAGAGGGAAAAACACGGGAAAAAACAGACAAAAGCTACCCGAAAACAGGACAAGGCCTGAAAACAAACAAGCAAACAAACAAAAAGGCCCAAAAAGGAAAAGGTTTAAACGGCAGTTACCACCGCTTAAAATATCGCAATACCTGGGCCAGACGCGCCTGCGCGTGCGCGTAAGGAGTTGGGCGCGCGTCCAGATTCAACGACGGCGCGCCACTGCGGCTGCCGCTGCTCGCCAGACGCGCTCCGCCGCTGCCACCCGCCAGCTGCGACGGGTTGAACACTTGCATGCGCACACGCCGCCCAGCCACTGACGCGCCGGCGGCCGGCATGACGGCGCCAGCGGCGCGCACAGGCCGCGACCTCGGCCGCACCAGTGCTCGCGTGGTGGTGGCGCCCATGGGAGCGAGACCAGGATTGGAAGCGGTAGCGAGCGGTGCGAAGCCTCCCCCTGCTGCTGCTGCGGCGGCGGCCCCCTGTGCTGCTTTGGCCTTCGCCAGCGCTGCGGCGGCCGCTGCGATGGTGGCTGTGCCGGCTGCGTGCGCTGATCGCAGAGGCGCGGGCGCCGCTGCTCTGAGTGCCGCTCGCGCAGCAGGTGGGAAACCACCAGGCGCCGCCATCGCACGCGCAACAGGCGCACCCGGCGCAGCGAGAACGGCAGGAGCCGCGGGAAGAGCGGCGTGGTTTTCGTAAAGGTCGTCGGCGACAAGCGCGTCTTCGAGGAAATCGTCGATGGAGATGCCTTCGGGGAGATTCAACGCCGGCAGTTGCTCGCCCAACCACTCCTCACCGCCCTCCATCGGTATATTCCACTCGTCCGCCTCTGCCACGTGGGCGGCCCCATCCTCCACGTGGCCCGCCGCCGCAGCGCCCGCTGCAGGCACGGCTTGCCACTGAATGTTCTCCCACAATCCGTCCACATCCACGTCGCTCTCCGCCTCCTGCCGCGCCGCTCCGCTCCCAACAATCCCGCTCGCAGTCGCCGACACATCCGGCGCGGCTACGGGCACAAGCGGCGCGGCGGCCGGATCGACGGGAACGAGATCGACCTCCTCCAACCCCAGAATGTCCATCAGATTCTCCGCGCCGCCCTCCATGTGCCCCAGCTCCGAAACGGGCGGCAGCTCGAACGGGAAATCCGGAAATCCCGGCTCCTGTGACGGCGGCTCGAACGTTCCCAGGGAGACGAATGACGCGTCAGCGGCGAGGAAAGCGGGCACGGACGGGTAGGCTGCGGCAGGAGCGGGAAGAGACTCGGGAACGACGGAGAAGCCGTTCGTGCCGTCGCTGCGGGCGGAAGGTTCCCGGAAGAACGGATGAAGGTCGGTGGTGGTAGTCAACGCGCCCTCCGACTCCACGTCGCTCGCGCCCGCTTCCTCCGCGCCTCCCGCAGCTCCGCTCCCCCTAAGCTTTATGGGCTGTCCCCCTCCACCCGCACCACCCGCACCCGACGGCGACACACCACCCGGAGTATTGCCTCCTCCTCCGCCTCCTCCCGTCTCCCACGGCGGCTCGCTCGCAGTGGGCTGCCCGTCGTCTTGATCCATCGGCAACGCGGTCTCCGCGGCACCGGCGCTCTTGTTGAACACGCGGCACAGCACGTAGTCCGCCGCGGGGCCGCCGCGCGACCGCGATTCGGGCTCCAGCCGGTACTCGTGCATCACCCAGTCCGTCCGCTCGCCACGTGGCGCCCTCCCGAGGTAAAACACGAGCGTCTTCTTAATCCCGATTTGTCGCGACGTGCGCGAGCTGCGCACGGGCTTGTCCTTGCCGGTCGACTTCCAGTACCCCTTCGCCGTGGCGCGATTCGCGCGCGACCCATGCGGATACTTCTTGTCGCGCGCGCAGAAGAAGTACCACTCGCCCGCCTCGAGGCACGACTGGCTGGGCAGGTCCCACGGCTCGCACTTGAGAATGTCGACCTCCACGATGAGCCCGTCGTCCACGAGGCGGTTCTCCACCTTCCGCTGCAGGTAGTACCCCAGCAGCTCCTCGTCCGTCGGGTGGAACCGGAACCCCGGCGGTAACCGGAACGGCGGCATCTTCTACTATTGTTTTGTGACTATTTAGCGATGCTAACTCCAGCTACTGGAGGAGAATCTAGTCGAAAGCGAGTTTAATTCGGAAAGATTCGGAACAAAAACTCCACAAACGAACTCTTAGGTCCGAAAAAAATAGCAGAAAAACAAAACTCGATTATCGAGTGATCTCAAGAGTCGTGGAGGCGCAGCAAGGAACGTTCGTCCTGCGTTGTTAGACACTTTCGTGTGTGGAAACATGGAAGGATGTGGGCTGCTTGCGTGGTTTTGATCTCTTTGGTGTAAGCACAGCAAATGGAAGAACCCTCAGCGATCCTGTTGCACCAGCTCAGGATGGCGCTGCTTGGCGGTAGAGGGATGCGCCGGGGCGGAGGACGGTTGCAGAGCAATAGTCGCAGGAGGGAAGGGATGGACGCGAAAAGGGGAGGGGCGCCCGCCAGGCGGGAACTTGTGTACACACGATGCCCGGTTGAGCCCCCCGACCTCGCCTTACCCTCTGGGCTTATAAGCGATTCTCGCTTCGCTTGAAGATTTCGTCAATTCGCATCGGGCAAAAAGGGCTTATAAAATACAAATGTAACTCAACGCTGACTGTTTGACTTTGGTCTCGTCAGTCAAACTTCAGTTTCTGTGGTTCGTATTGGTCGACGTGCTTGTAACGTGGGTGCAACGTCACGGCACAAAACCCACGGGTGCAAGGTTTCCATCTGGTGCAGGGAAATTTTGCGTGCAGGAGGTGAGCATCAGGTGCATGAGCAGATGGCGAGCGGGGCGTGTTTCATCCGGAGAGGGGGGAGGGGAAATTCGAAGCGGAGAGCTGATGCTCCGCTGAAGAAGGGAGAACGCGGAAGGTTATGGGGCGAATGGGGAGGAGAGAAAGCGCAGAGCAGAGAGGGAGAGGGGGGAAGGTGACGGGAGAATGAGGTGGTCACTTTCCACGCAGGTGAGCCTCGCACGAGCGTGACGCTACACAGCAAACAGTATTCGTCGATGTGGCCGTGCGCTGAAGGGTTTGGTTTGGGCACTCCAATCTGACGGCAAGTAGAGGTGGCGTGCGAAGGGACATCCAACTGAATGGTGAGGATGTGTTCTTGGAAGTGAGTCTCCCCCGCGGGATCTCTCGTTTGCGCGAGTCTCACAGATCAACCAGGGCGCTCTCGTTCGTTCCAGGCCGTCGCTGCTTTCTTGTGCTTCACGCGTCCTCGGTACGCGTTCGGGCATGCTCATATATGATACGCACGAAAATACATTCTGAGTATTAGTTCCATTTGGACCACTATAACCGTGATTGAGTTAGACTAAGATTTTCGGGTTGCGTAGCAACCCTTATACATTTGGTAGCACTTTTTGATCGACTCAAATGAACAGTACTGTTTTTGTCATTTTCCCAACGTCCGAACCACTCGTTTCAACGTTTTGATAACGAGTGTTTCAAATGTGTGGAGATGACAGCACTGAACACGTAAGTCCCCAAAAAGATGAAACCAAATGTGACCTATCATTCCATAATCGTCGATAAATACGGCGAATGGAACAATAGGTCGCCACCAAACACAAGTGACGAGAAAAAATCCCCACTGGTCATGAATGCAAATCATTTGCATACGAGCAAAAACAACACATAACTACTGTAAGTGAATGCTAAAATGCGTCGGTGCTACAAAAGAGATGGTTCCGGTATGCTAAGGCATGCAAAGCTGCCCCAACGACTATCCCCACCTCAAATGCAGACCCGAAACACTTGAACATCACACCTCAATTGCGTAACACGTGCAAGCACAACACATAACAACTGCGAGTGAATGCTAGAATGCATCGGTGCTACAACAGTGGTGGTTCTGGTATGCTAAGGCGAGCAACGCTGCCCCAACAACGATCCCCACCTCAAATGCAGACCCGACACACTTTAAAGCCAGCAGCTAAAATAGTGACACCCCCCCTTCTAGTGGGTCCACTTGAAATCATGATACTAACTTTGTAATGCTTCTGAAATTCGAAGTGTTGTTCTGTTGTGTTTTTCACACACGTTCGACTTCCCAAAAAAACTACAAAATTCGTCGCAAGCATGTGCAAGTTTGCGACGGGCGAATCCCAATCACACGGAGTGCCAATTTCAACAAGTGTTGCATGTGCAATTCACGCACGACAAACGCCTTGGACATGGACCTGCTGGAGCGGCAAATACAGCATAGGAAAACCAGAATGCGGGAAGAAACAGAGAGTTTCAAGTTAGAGATTAAAAAGGGATAGGGAGACGGAAACGAGAACGCACGAAGAGAGCAGAGTGAACGAGAATAGCGGAATGGTAAGGTGTTGGGAGGGGAGAACGAGGGGCGACGGGCATGCATTTCGGGGCGAGCGCGCAGGCGCCGAGGTGGGTGATGGAAGGGGAGTGACGAAGGGCGACGGGCAGACATTTTGGTGCGAGCGCGAAGGCGCCGAGGTGGGTAGTGGGAGGGGAGAGAGGAAGGGCGACGAGCAGGCATTTCGGGGCGACGGGAGGGTGCCGAGGTGGGTGGTAGGAGGGGAGAGAGGAAGGGCGACGGGCAGGCATTTCGGGGCGAGCGCGAAGGCGCCGAGGTGGGTAGTGGGAGGGGAGAGAGGAAGGGCGACGAGCAGGCATTTCGGGGCGACGGGAGGGTGCCGAGGTGGGTGGTAGGAGGGGAGAGAGGAAGGGCGACGGGCAGGCATTTCGGGGCGAGCGCGAAGGCGCCGAGGTGGGTAGTGGGAGGGGAGAGAGGAAGGGCGACGAGCAGGCATTTCGGGGCGATGGGAGGGTGCCGAGGTGGGTGGTAGGAGGGGAGAGAGGAAGGGCGACGGGCAGGCATTTCGGGGCGAGCGCGAAGGCGCCGAGGTGGGTAGTGGGAGGGGAGAGAGGAAGGGCGACGAGCAGGCATTTCGGGGCGACGGGAGGGCGCCGAGGTGGGTGGTAGGAGGGGAGAGAGGAAGGGCGACGGAAGAGAGGAAGAGCTTCGGGAGAGAAAGGGCGACGGGAGAGAGAAAGGGCGACGGGAGAGAGGAAGAGCGACGCGAGAGATGAAGGGCGACGGGAGAGAAAGGGCGACGAGAGGGAAAGATAGGCGACGGGAGAGAAGGAAGGGCGGCAGGAGAGGAGAGGCGACTGGAGAGGAAAGGCGACGGGAGAGAAGGAAGGGCGGCGGGAGATGAGAGGCGACGGGAGAAGAAAGGCGACGAAGGGGAAAGGCGAGGGGAGAGGAAAGCAACGGGAGGGAAAGGCGATGGGAGAGAAAGGCGAGGGGAGAGGAAAGCAACGGGAGGGAAAGGCGATGGGAGAGAAAGGCGAGGGGAGAGGAAAGCAACGGGAGGGAAAGGCGATGGGAGAGAAAGGCGAGGGGAGAGGAAAGCAACGGGAGGGAAAGGCGACGGGAGGGGAGGGGCGACGTGAGAGAAGACGAGAGACGGCAGAGAAAGGCGTGCGGGATGGGAGGGGAGAGATAGCGAGGCGACGGGATGGGGGGGAAGAGATAGCGAGGCGACGCGAACTGAGGGGAGGGCCGCGATGGGAGATAGCGAGCGCGACGTCGGGACGGAGGCGGCGAGAGGGCGATAAGAGGCCGCTAGAGGGCGATCTAAACGGCACAATTACTGCGCAATCATGCCATATAATCACTACGCGTCTAAGTTGCGGTGACAATAGCCTAAGTTGAGGGCTATGTGGCTAGACAAGCAACTGATAACTAGAAGCACGGAAAAATGAACGGAAGAACTAGTAGTACTTCACCCATGCCCAACTTGAACTCCAAACTGGGCGAAAAATCGCAGGGACGTGACAAACGATCGTAGTGCTTCTGTTCTGCGGCTCCCCAAACAGGGATGCGACGCCTGACGTGCTGTGTTTCTTTCTTCGGTTTTGGCGGCAACCAATCAGATTTGTTCGATCTCTTCGAACGCTCACAATAAAACAGTGCAAAGTTGTCGGTTTGGTTTGAAAATTGTTTCGCTCGACAAGCTCTCTTTCAAGCTGGAGACGGGTTCACTATTTTGCATTTCGGTTTTAACATCACACGTCAATTGCATACACGAGACAGACGGGTGCAAACAGACAAACGCACATATCGCACACACGGGCTCACACGTGCACGTGCAAAACCACACGCATAATCACACGCAATCTAACACACACGCAAACAACCACAGATACCGGTAGATACAGAGACCGTATCAAACACGCAACCGTCATGAATACGGTAAATTTCAGAAATGCATAAATAGTTGCTAGCCTATCCCACCTACGCTCTCTACAACCCTCCCTCCCTCCTTCCCTCATCGCCCTTTTCAGCTCACGTGCCCTGCACAAAGCAAAAACAGAGAAGTCAACACACACAAGGCCTGCACGAAGCAAAAAAAAGAGAAATCAACACACACACGCCCTGCACAAAGCAAAATCAGAGGAGTCAACACGCAAACGCCCTGCACAAAGCAAAAACAGAGAAATCAAAACACACACGCCCTGCACAAAGCAAATACAAAGAAGTCAACACACACAAGCCCTGCACAAAGCAAATACAAAGAAGTCAACACACACAAGCCCTGCACAAAGATAAGATCGAGAAGTCAACACACACATGCCCTGCACAAGAAAGCATGAACAGAGAAAGCAACAGCACACCTTGCACAAAAAACAGTGTATGTTCACACACTGTGTGGCCATGACGCTAGCGCTTCAGGCACGGCACACTAGGTAGGTGCCATGCCAGCGCCCAAGCGTTACACCCCGCTGCACGAGCGTGCTAGGCGCTAGTGCAGAAAGCCCCAGTTTGTATAAGTAGCCCCAGTTTCCCAAGCACCAGCAGAATAGATGCTAGTGCCTACAACCCAGCGTGCTCATGCGCTCTCTCACGCGCTCTCTCGCGCTCCCTCACGCACTCCGTCACAAGCACCCAAACGCGCACTCTCACGCACACTCTCACGCACACTCTCACGCACACTCTCACGAGCACTCTCACGAGCACTCTCACGTGCTCTCTCACGCACTCTCTCACGCGCACTCTCACGGGAACTCTCACACTCTCTCACGCGCACTCTCACGCGCTCTCTCACGCGCACTTTTACGCGCTCTCTGACGCGCTCTCTCAGGCGCACTCTCAGGCGCACTCTCAGGCACACTGTCCCGCGCTCTCTCTCGCGCTCTCCCTCACGCACTCTCACGCACATTCTCTCTCTCGCGCACTCTCTCACGTGCTCTCTCTCACGTGCTCTGTCTCACGCGCTCTCGCGCGCACTCTCATGCGCACTCTCACGCGCACTCTCGCGCGCACTCTCACACGCACTCTCACGCGCACTCTCACATGCACTCTCACGCGCTCTCTCACGCGCACTCTCACGCGCTCTCTCACGCGCACTCTCACGCGCACTCTCGCGCGCTCTCTCGCGCGCTCTCTCGCACGCGCTCTCACACGCTCTCGCACGCGCACTCTCACGCAAACTCTCACATGCACTCTCACGCGCACTCTCACGCGCACTCTCACGCGCACACTTACGCGCACACTAGCGCTCTCTCACGCGCCCTCTCGCGCACTCTCTCATACGCACCCTCACGCGCTCTCTCACGGGCTCTTACACGCGCTCTCACACGCGCTCTCACACGCACTCTCACGCCCTCTCACACGCACTATCTCATGCGCTCTTTCACGCCCACTCTCACCTCACGCGCTCCCTCACACGCACTCTAACGACCACGCTCTCACGCGCTCTCTCCTACGCAACCTAACGTGCGCTCTCTCACGCGCACTCTCATGCCCTCTCTCACGCACACCCTCACGCACACCCTCACGTGCTCTCTCACGCGCTCTCTCGCACGCACTCTCACGCGCTCTCTCACGCGCACTCTCACGCGCACTCTCACGCGCTCTCTCACGCGCTCTCTCACGCGCTCTCTCACGCGCTCTCTCACGCGCTCTCTCACGCGCTCTCTCACGCGCTCTCTCACGCGCTCTCTCGCGCACTCTCACGCGCACACTCACGCGCACACTCGCGCTCTCTCACGCGCTCTCTCGCGCACTCTCTCACGCGCTCCCTCACGCGCTCTCTCACGGGCTCGTACACGCCCTCCCTCACGCGCACTCTCACGCGCACTCTCACGCGCTCTCTCACGCGCTCGCTCTCGCGCACTCTCACGCGCATTCTCTCCCTCACGCGCTCTCTCACACACACTCTCAGGACACTCTCACGCGCTCGCTCTCGCGCACTCTCACGCGCATTCTCCCTCTCACGCGCTCTCTCACACACACTCTCAGGACACTCTCACGCGCTCGCTCTCGCGCACTCTCACGCGCATTCTCCCTCTCACGCGCTCTCTCACGCGCTCTCTCACGCGCTCTCTCACGCACACCCTCACGCACACCCTCACGCGCTCTCTCACGCGCTCCCTCACGCGCTCTCTCACGCGCTCGCTCACGCGCTCCCTCACGCACTCCCTCACGCACGCGCTCCCTCAGCACGCTAGGCGCCAGCGCGCTAGGCGCCAGCGCGCTAGGCGCCAGCGCGCTAGGCGCCAGCGCGCTAGGCGCCAGCGCGCTAGGCGCCAGCGCGCTAGGCGCCAGCGCGCTAGGCGCCAGCGCGCTAGGCGCCAGCGCGCTAGGCGCCAGCGCGCTAGGCGCCAGCGCGCTAGGTGCCAGCGCGTTAGACGCCAGCGCGCTAGGCGCCAGCGCGCTAGGCGCCAGCGCGCTAGGCGCCAGCGCGCTAGGCGCCAGCGCGCTAGGCGCCAGCGCGCTAGACGCCAGCGCGTTAGGCGCTAGCGCGATAGGCGCCAGCGCGTTAGGCGACCAAAGAGGAGAGCAATGGGAGTGTAATGCTAAGAAAATTCAGCATAGAAAACTTACGAAGAAAGTAGAAAACCTAATAAAATTCGGCGGGAGGAGGGAGGTAAAAAGGTCCTAGAAACGTAAACGCACCTGAGACAGCGGTGTCGCATAAAACAACGCGAGGTCGTTTAGCAACCCGCGCTCACGCTCGTGCACCCACCAGAGGCGACGACGGGAAGGGAGGGAGAGGCGACGGCAAGGAGGAAGGGAGCGGCTATGACGGGGCGGGAGGGAGAGGTTATGGCGGGATGGGAGGGAGAGGCGATGGCGGTTGGGAGGAGGGAGAGGCGCTGGCGGGATGGGAAGGAGAGGATACACTGGGATGGGAGGAGAGGCGACACGGGATAGCTAGTAGATGGGAAGAACCAAGAACTGAGAATCAAGAATCAAGAACAAAGAACCAAGAACCAAGAATCAAGAACCAAGAGGAGAGCGTCGAATTCGAGTTGACAATGTGAAAGGAAACAATACAGTTTTTACTCGTTAGAAGAGTGTGTAATCTTTGGGGCAGATGAGATTCACACTGTATTGCTAGGACAAACTGGACAACTAGGCATGGACAATCTTTCATTTAGGTGTATATGTAGAAATATGAGCAAGATACTAATTTGAAAGCTGTGCTACGTGAAAGAGACGCATAACTATGTTATCAAACTACTGTTGAAAATAACGAACCACTATAGTAACTGGACGGTGCAATATAGTAAGATAGAGCTAAAAAGTATTATCTATTTTAATAACAAAAATATCATCACTGTCCGAATCGCTACCTTTTGATACTTGACAAGCTTTCAAATATGTACATAATTACTATTTTTCTCTAACATGTCTTTCCCATAAGTATAATATATAATATTCCATCATATGTTTCTTATATCACTAGAAACAACTTTACGCAACCCTTCCGACGTAAACGCCGAGTCTTGTTAACATTTCACGAGTGAAATAGTGAATTACCTTATGTTAGTTCCACGGGAAAATACACTCCAGTATGAGCGCAGCGTATTTCTGTATATGGTGAAAAAAATGGAACAGCGAAATGGAACAATAAATGCACTAAATGTACCGATTTCTTGTCAACTGTTACAATCCTACACAGGACTTAGCCAGGGATCGGCTCAGGATTGTTCGTAGGTATTGTTGCAGCGGAAGTGTTGACCTCAGATCAGAGTGAATGTAAAATGACTGAGATGATAATGACATGCATACATCGAGTTAATATAGGAAGTACAAGTAACACGAAAAGACCTAGACTAGCCATGTACTTTAAGGGCGTGCGTGATTTTTGGAAGACTGTCAAAGTTCGAACTCAAACCGCTTTGCACCGTGGCACCAAATCTCTCAACTGTATCCTACCGTGTAGAATTGTTATAAAAGTTCGAACTTTGGAAAGTTCGAAAAAAAAAATCTCTCACGCCCTACGGGCAGGGCCCAAAATATCAGGGTAAAACGCCCTGATTACCCTGGGGGCCGGCCACTTTTTCAGGATTACCCTGCCGAAATCAGAATTTCATGATAGTTACCCTTCTCTAAAAAGTGTTTGTTTTTTTTACCCTGATAGGCTTTATGGTTAGCCTGACGGAATCAGGATAGGGTGTAGACTACCCTTTTACCAAAACTTTTCTAACGCGAATCGGACCATACTCCGCGTGGTGACAAAATGTATCACACCCCCACAAACAAGCGTTGTCGCTTGTGACCACTTGCAATAAAACTTGCTTCGGTGTTGGCGACACGCCATGTTGCCTCATTGGTTGTTTCTCCCGTAGGACTGCCAACGCATTCTTGAATCTAGCCACACGTCCCGTAGAAGATGTGGGCAGTGGGGGTGGCACTGAGTAGGTGTGTTGTGAATGTGATGCTCTTGTAGACTTCATTGACTTTGTGTGTGCTACTTTATTATGTCAGTATAAATAACTTATCGAACAAAACAGAAGCCCAAACAGGCTTAGCCTAAAACTACCCTGCTCAAATCAGGCTACTGGTTCATTTACCCTTCTGCAAATAGGGTACAAAAACTTTTACCCTAGGGGTCTGGTTAAGGAGGGGCTGGAACCCTGATTCGTAAGAGTAGGCCTAAACCAATTTTGGGCCCTGCCTAAGGGGTACATTCCCTTATCACAGTGAAATTCAAACCGTGTGGCGCGGGATGTCAGAATCCTAGCCACTAACCACTGGGATAAAAGGGCTTTTTTGTGTAGCGGGTGAGTGCGCCCATAACCCCCCAGGCCGCCGTGCCTGTAACCCTTCCTTAGGATCAATCGGGGATCTTCAGTGAACCTCTGACACCCCCCCGCACTGGGATGCCCGAGGCGCACACACCGGGATTCGAACCCGAGACCTTCGCTCTGATACCATGTCAAAATCCCAGCCACTAACCACTGGGATAAAATGGCTTGTTTGTGTAGCGGGTGAGTGTGCCCATAACCCCCCAGGCCGCCGTGCCTGTAACCCTTCCCTAGGATCAATCGGGGATCTCTAGTGGACCTCTGACACGGGAACCCGTTTCAAACCTGTTCCCGCTCTTTCCACTTCAAATGTGTTAACTGCCTGCGTCGGTCTTGATCTGACGATTTCTGGTGTCGCTTCGACTCTTCTGACTCCTCGACTTCGTACTTGGTAAAGTTGGCTTCTGCAGCGTACAGGAATGCCTTATCAAATCTCATTTCGTAACACTCCCCTTCATTCCTAGGAGCGCAGAGGATTGACTCGCTTGACCACTCTGGTAAGGTCAGAGCAGTGTTTGTACTGCTGACGTGGCAGTTGCTTGGTGAGGAAGTCGGCTGACATCTCGGTGGTAGGACTGTACGCGAGGTCAACCTTGCCCTGGTCAATTTCGTCCTTGACGAAAAAATATCGAAGCGCAATGTGCTTCGTATGATTCACGAATCTCGGCTTGTTCGCGATTTTGATGGCGCTCTAGTTGTCGCAGTGAAGGCGAAAGGCGGGCGAGGTTGGAATTTTCGCTTCCTGCAGCAGCTCTTGCAGGTAAGGTCCTTCGCGAACTGCGGCTGTCGCGACGATGTACTCTGCTTCGGCCGACGACAGGGCAACCAGTTCCTGCTTATACGAATTCCAGGAGATTGGGTTCGTTGGCTCCAGGTGGAAGACAAAACTAGTTCATGACCGTCGATTTGTAGGGTCAGCGGCGTGATCTGCGTCCACGTAGCCGGTGAGGTTAAATGATTTTGTTGTCAGTATGGAGTAGGAGAGCCCGATGTCAGGTGTGGAGATGAAGTACTGTAGGGCGCGCTCCAGGTCCAGCTGGTTCTCAGCTACTGGCTTGCGAGAGTACTGTGCCAGTTGGTTGGGGATGTACGAAAGGTCGGGTCGGGAGGTGACAGAGGCGAACAACAAGCACCCCAACTGCTGCTGGTAAAGTTGAAGTCCTGCGGGTGACAGAGGTTTGCTGTCCGGTTTGTAATTGGCGCTGGGAGTCCGGTAGGGAGTTGAGAGTGGTGCGGGCGAGATTTTGAAGCATTCTCCCAGCTGCTCTGCGTACTTGGAGGCTGACATATGAATCGCTTCTGGCGCGTAAGAGATGTTCAGCCCGAGAAGCTGCGTGACGTTGTGGTTGATGGTGATGTCAACACGCTGCGCCAGGTTTGCCTCGAACTAATTCAGAAACTTACTCCATGTGCCAGTGTACAGCAGGTCATCGACGTAGACTATCAGGAGAATGTAATCGCCGTTGAAATGGAGACGGTACATTCTCGGGTCGTATGGCAGCTGCCTGAAGCCAATGTCCAGCAGTATATTGTGCAGGTGCTGCTGCCAGAGACGCGGCGCCTGCTTTATCCCATAGAGGGACTTCTTTAATTGGCGGACCCTAGGGTCTCCTTCTCCGTAGGTGTGTGGTTGTTCCACGAAGATGGTTGCGTCCACCACTGCGTACAAAAACGCGTTAATGACGTCGATCTGCCGAAGTGGTAGATGCTTGGCAGCTGCGATGGCGAGTAGGGTCCTGGCAGAGGTATGGCGGCTGACGGCGACGAAGATTTGGTAGAAATCGATGCCGTTGAGTTGGTCGTAGCCGCATACAACCCAGCATGCTTTGAAGCGCTCAATAGTTCCGTCAACGGCAGTTTTGAGATGGAAAACCCATTTTCCGCTTAGCACCCTCCTCCCCTTCACTGCTGCACGATCGACTAGGACCCATGTGTCGCGTGACTCCTGTGCTTTCAGCTCCGCATCCATAGCTGCTCGCTGTTAAACTGTATTATGCTTGTAGGCTGTAGTGGGGTAGCCAATATGGGGTACAACCCCAACTAGGGTTTCATATTTGTACCCAAACTTCTACTAGTTCATTCATTCTTGCCTAGCTATTCTGAAATGGTATTCAGAGCAGGAGGTCCCTAGGACCTACCGACCGTTTTTTTTTTAAGGGCCCACCACCGCTCGCATGCGGTTACCACGCTACCCCGTGCCCTAGCCTCGTAGCGCCCTCGTGCGCCCACGTTAGCGCCCTCGCGCGCCCCTCACTAGCGCCCTCGCGCGCCCCTCGCAGTGTCGCCCGCCCGCCGAGCCGCCCGCTCGCAGCCCGCTCGTCCTGCTGCCCGCTTCGCAGCCCGCCCGCCCGCTCGCTGCCCGCTTCGCGGCCCGCCCGCCACGCAGCCCGCCCGCCCGCTCGCTGCCCGCTTCGCGGCCCGCCCGCTTCGCAGCCCGCTCGCTCGCTGCCCGCTCCGCGGCCCGCCCGCTTCGCAGCCCGCTCGCCCGCTCGCTGCCCGCTTCGCGGCCCGCCCGCCCGCTCGCTGCCCGCTTCGCGGCCCGCCCGCTTCGCAGCCCGCTCGCTCGCTGCCCGCTTCGCGGCCCGCCCGCTTCGCAGCCCGCCCGCCCGCTCGCTGCCCGCTTCGCGGCCCGCCCGCCTCGCAGCCCGCTCGCCCCGCTGCCCGCTTCGCGGCCCGCCCACTTCGCAGCCCGCCCGCCCGCTCGCTGCCCGCTTCGCGGCCCGCCCGCTTCGCAGCCCGCTCGCCCCGCTGCCCGCTTCGCAGCCCGCCCGCCCGCTCGCTGCCCGCTTCGCGGCCCGCCCGCTTCGCTGCCCGCTCGCAGCGCCGCCCGCCCGCCCGCTACCTGCTTCGCAGCGCCGCCCGCTGCCTCACTGCCCGCTTGCTGCGTCCCCTCTGCTGCTGCTGCTGCTCTGCTGTGCCCTCACGCCTGAGCTATGGCCTCTATTCGCGTTCTTTCCTTCGATGCTGAGGGCCGTCCCGTGCAGTTCACTTCCTGGCTCGACGACCTGCAGTTGTATCTTATGAGCAATAGCACGGACCACATCTCCCTCTATGACTACGCGTCTGGTGCTGCCGCTGCTCCTGCTGCCACAGCCGAGCTTAGTGTTCGTTCCCACTGGCAGACTCGTGACGCAGCTGCTCGCCTAGCCATTCGTAGTCACCTGCCGCTAGCTGAGCTCGAGCATTTTGGCGACTGCAAATCCGCTAAGGCCCTGTACGATGCTGTCGTTGCTCGCTACTCCTCGCCTGCCACAGCCGAGCTTAGCCGCCTCATGCTGCCGTACCTGTTCCCCGATCTGTCCACCTTTACTACAGTCGCCGATCTTATCACCCACCTTCGCACTAGTGATGCTCGCCTGCGTGCCGCCCTTCCCACCGAGTTCTGCGCTAAGAACCCCCCTCCACTGTACTGGACACTCCACTTCATAGTCACCCGTCTCCCTGACACCCTCCGCTCAGTTCGAGACCACTTCCTTGCTCGCTGTCCCACTGAGCTCACAGTCGCCCTCCTAGAGGAGCAGCTGCTCGCGGCCGAAAAGAGCATTGTAGCTGTTGGTGCTGCTCGTGGCGCTCCTCGCACCCCCATCTTTGAGGGGTGTTCTCCCTCTCCCCTCGCTCCCTCCTACGCTGCTGCTGCTGCTGTTGACTTCCTTGGTGCTGAGTCTGTTGGCGCTGCTTCTGCTCCTGGTGGGAGGCGCCGCACCG